GTGTGTGTGTGTGTGTGTGTGTGTGTGTGTGATTGTGATTGTGTTGCCTACACACAGGCGCACACACCTGTGTTTGTGCCCATGTATCTGTGAGATCTGGGAGTGTTTTCTTAGCGGTGTAATGTGTCTTTTCGTTTGTGCGCCTTGCCTTTGTGGCCCCACATTCATCAGAGAGTTTGATGTTGGGAAATCGATGTTTATCCAGACCAACCTCCTCAGCGAGCCCTGCTCATTTTAACTAGGTTTTAATTAAACAAGACAAGCACATAGAACACTTCAAGGAACCTATTTATCATCTGGTCCTCCAAGCTATGTAGTCCAGCATCCACATATTAAGACACCCTCTCTTCTCCCTCCCCCTCCGACGCCCGTCCCCTCGCTGCTGCCTACTCATTCACAGTGCCTCAGGAAGCCCACCTTAACTTATTGAACACATACAGTACTGCTGCTTAATAATGAATCCCATGTTAGTGTCCAAATGCATGTCTGAAAGAATAGTTGTGCATGCGATCTCATCCATGGATCATCCCAGCAGGGATTTCTCCTGATTTCTTATCAAACATTTAAACCAAAGAGGATTTGTGGGAAGCACAGCCTCATCTCTAGTTCCTTGCTTTACTCCTTCAGGAGTAAAGTTTGCTGTCTTAGAGGCGATCCACCTTGCATAAACCTTCTGCAAATATTGTATTGCACAAAGTCACCTCCTCTGTTTTTACTGGTAAATCTGGGTAAAGGTACTGTAAATTGTGTCTGTTCATAAGAAACAGCCCACCATTCCCTCAGGCCGCTCGGGAGCCACGTGTCTCCAGAAGGGTTGAGGAGACATGAGGACAGAACGAGTGCCGCTGTCTCTCAGTGCTCACTGCTTTAATGTATTTTACCGTTGCTTCTGGCTTGTGAAGAATGTCTCCTGGCCTCTGTGCCAGATACCAGGAGGCGTTATCAGCCCTGCCTTGCTCTTTTTGTGGTAATGAGCCCCCAGACACAGTATTATCTGTTTACGATAAGGATATTAATAACACTGTGCTTTAGTTATGCTCCGGTTTCTCTACAGGGTGATTTTGTCAAGAGTTCTTTTCAAGCAGGATAATACTTTGGCAGCATCATGCTAGTTACTTTGAAAGTGCAATAAGTTACGTTCACTACTCCTTTGTTTTGCTTCTAAAAAGTTACCTTACTCATTACCTTCCAATAAACTTATTGTTTAGGTACCTATGTCCAGCGCTGACTTTACTTTTGTTTGACTTCTAATTAAGTTTTCTGAATTGTGAGCAACCAACCAAACTGCGTAGCAGCAAACATTAGAGGCCTGATGAGGCACAGGCAGCAACAAGCTTCTTAAATCTTGTTCATTTAATGTTCCCCCACAACTGTAAAGCTTCACATTTCYGCCGCACTGCTGTTTTTGATGCTTCAATAAATTAGATGTTGTATCATTTTGTGGCTAAAAACATTTTTGCTGCCTGTGCAAAGTTTACAAGTGACAGTAATAATCTTTGTTACTTTGACGGAGACAACTTTTGAATAATGACAATACCGCAGCAATTGAAAGGAAATCTCATTGTGTACATTCTGAGTTAGATAAAAGTAAATAAATAAACAGCAACCCCCCCCAACATGTGATTACTTGCAGTAATAACATCATATTGTATATTTAATGAATAGTTTTTGAGGCTTAAATTAAAAGCACTATTATAAGAAGCGTTAATGTTGCTAAAACACAAATTGCAGCTAAAAGCTTAGCAGAGGAGTGGGACATGAAAGGAAGGAGACACACTGTCTAGAGTTAGTGAGATGGTGCTGAGGAGTTCATTAGTTTTTCTTATTTAGGTCATTGTTTTCATGAACAATAGCTCCACCATATGCCGGCAGGTCCAAGTGGGAGTTGTGAACTTAAGGGTTATAGGTGAGGTGTTCGCAGAGCACAGCTGTCATGGTCACCTGAGAGGTCAAACCCTTGCTTCCACGTTATTCTAATAAAATGTCCCCTTTTCTGTCCCATTTTCTGCTCCCCTTCCAGTGTTTGTATGGCTGCTACGTCCACTCCTCCATTATCCCCACCTTCCACCGCAGGTGCTACTGGCTGCTCCAGGTAAGAATTTGTTTTATCCTTCAATCCAGCTCACCCTGCTTTAGTGTACGTGCCGACTCCCCTTCKCTGTCCGCAAAAACATAAACGAGTCGCATGATATCAGTCTCTATTAGGTTGAAGCGTTTACCTTTGACAGACGGCAGCCGGTTGACAGCCTATCCTTGCCCCTCTCTCTCTCTCTCTCTCTCTCTCTCTCTCTCTCTCTCTCTCTCTCTCTCTCTCTCTCTCTCTCTCTCTCTCTCTCTCTCTCTCTCTCTCTCTCTCTCTCTCTCTCTCTTCTATCCCTTTTTCTCTCTCCAGTCTCCATTTCCCTTATCTTTCCCAGTCATTCACTTTTCTGATGGCATTGCCCATACAAGCCGTCCAGCAGGACAGTATCTCAGTCTGCTAAAAGCTTCGCCATCTCCCCTGCTTAACAGCTGCAGTGATGGGCAGTAAAAGTGTGATGGAGGAGCTTCCCTGTACAGTACAGTGTGCTCACCGATGGTCGTCAAGTCGGCAGACTGAGAATCGTTGTAAATAGTGGTCCTTTGATCACGTACCCAACACATTTCATTATTCCCTTTCTTGCATGGCAGCCATTGCTGTTAGAGGATTCCTGATACAGTCATTGTCTCGCACAGTTTTAAGGGGATGGAAAGTATTGTTTTTTTTCTAGATTCATTAGCAACAGATATGTGAACAAAATATATAATAAAGGCTCAAATGTGGGTGATATGTATTTTTCAGGCACATACTTCAAATCTGTACCAAAATCTAGTAACAGTTACCTTCAGTTGTTATAAAACTGCTGTATATATCAAAAATAAATTTGAATTTTCATCATAGCCTATGCAAATGCCTTAAAATTGGCCTCTGTCTCTTTTAAAAACAGACTCCAGACTGATGCTGCCTATTGGTGCTGACTTTTCAGAACAGCCACCATCTTGGAAGGGTCCTTCTTGCAACCCCCCAGCATATTTATTTGTACTGAGGAAGCTGTTTGCCCAACTAAAAAACTCAAAACTCCACAAATCTTTACATTTTTTACATGGTTTGGTTTGTTACAAGCAGCAGATGTAGTTATAATACAGGAAGCTATCACACATTCTGAGCTTTCATGCAGATTTTTTTTCAGTGAAGCATTGCACAATATTTTGAAATTTTTCATTTGGTCAAACAAATATTAGACTTACAGGAAATCATAAAAAACTCAAATGCCAATATTGTAATTTTCTAGACCTTTAGTCAATGATTTAATTAAAGAAAATATTATTTTGATGTGGAAAATATAGCATTAGCTTGGGAATGCTTCAGAAAAAATAAAAGCCCAGCATTTTTCTTTAAAGGAAAACTAAGATCATCTTGTGCTGAGACACAGTTGTAGCCATTTTGAGCCAACCTTATAAATAACAATATGTGTGATCTTGTGCCTGATCATATTCCTGGAGCATATGTTTAGGATGACTCAGCTAATATTACTCCAAAATTAGCTCAGTTACTTTAAAAACTGACTATGTGCCCTATGTTGGCTGCAACCCCTGAATTGAAACACAACCTTGCACCATTTAAAGCAAAAAACACATATTTAATTAACATCCAATAGCGGTATTTAGAGTTCAAACACAAATTATTAAAGTTTTGAAAAAGTAAGATTTTCTTTTCCCTTTTATAATATATACATTTTAAAATATTTTTGTTTTTTTAGTACAAAATGAAATTGATTAAATATTTATTTTCTAAATTGTACTTTTAATTTCCCATCTTCACAACATATATTACACTTTGATGTTTTCTTTTTACTTAAGTTGTCTCATTATCTTTGGTGCACCGAACAGATCTAAAATGTTCTACTGGTTAAATAGCAAATATGTAATGTCTTTAGGCAACACAACACACAATATCACAAAAAGCCCCCCCAAAAGAGCATAAAATTGCTTTTTAAGAATGCCTAAATACCAATTACAATCATCTGAGAGTTCCCAGAGCACACAAAAGTTTCTGAACAACATCTCTTTATTTCTCTCTTGTGCTCCATGTTGCCTCTGCTCATCTCTTCTTATCTGGCAGCAAAGATAATTAGGCAGTTTTCATTTCCTTATATTTCCAAATGATTATAGCCACAAGATGTTTCTTTTTTTAGTGATTTTGTTTCAATTATTTTGGGGGACTTCTATAGTGTTAGAAAGAGGTCTTTATTAAGAAAACGTTTCATTTTTTCTTCCATAATGTTTCATTTAGAATTATACAAGTAAAATTAGCCGAGATTCCCTGTGAACAAATTCCATTATTCTGTTTTTGCTCCACAAATTTAAATTAGATATAATGTATCAAATTACATTTTATATATATATACATTTTCAATGTTGCAGAAAACATTTATCTTCATTATTGACTGTGAATGCAGAAGTAAGGAGTATTTCTGGAATTACTTGATCTAACAAACATTTTTGCACTGTTGTTTTACTAGAGGGTTGAAAACATGAACCTGCCCTTTAGTCAGTTTTAAAGAAGCATGACTATTAAATTGAACAGAACCAGTCTCACCAAGAGTCAAGTCAGATTTGTGCGTTACACGGAGATGTGGAGACATTTAAAACATAGATACACCCTTTGCAACAAGTGCTAGGGTCACACTGGGTCGCTCCTTTTTTTTCTTTCACAACCTTCATTTTCAGCTTCTCGATATTTCTGCACAAACACTCATCAAACTTTGAGGAATGCTCTGACTCAACTTTTCTACCCTGTTGCTGAGAACAACTACTTAGTGAATCTTTGGCCTTCGCTTCTCACACGGCTCAGCAGATCTTCTTATGCTTCTCCTGAGGCTCTAAGCTGCACAAACACGTCCATTCGTTCAAAGACAACGGTACCCCTCTGCTGCCAAAAAAACATGAAACCCTCACAAACATGTATTTCCAAATTTGCATCTCTTTTCAGGCAGTGTATGTCAGACCATCAGGATGAGGATGAGAAACTACAGTACTTTGACACTAGGGGGAAAGAATTACACCTCTGTTCGTATTCCTGCAGCTGCCTAAAGACCTTCAGCACCGCTGTCTTCTTCAGCCATTTTCAGCCAGCTCGGCTGCAGTCTTTTTTATTCCCCCACCAGCTCTTCTTTTCCACATTCCTCCAATCTCTGAACCCTCTGTTCCCGACTCCCTGTGTACCATTTGCTGTGTCCATATGAGATTTGCAAGCAGTAGTCTGTCAACATCAGAGCGGCAAGGAGACTGGAGCTCCCGGAGCGGCAACAGGGAAAGGTCACCAGTGAGTGAAAAATGTAAATATTCAGCCATCCAGCAGCCACAGTCACGGAGAGACCAGGATGAAAATAACTCCTATTACACAGCACCAACAGGGAGGGAACACAGGGGACACAGTGGGTCGAGACGGGCAGTGAATGATAGAGGGAGAGGGACACAACTTTTGCAAAAAAAGTTACAATACAGGGAGAGTTTGAGAGGAAAGTAGATTTAAAGATTGAAGCAGGAGGGAAAAATGTAATAGTGTGGCTGTACGAAAGTGGTTTTGGACATACGTGTGGCAGAGCCGGGGAGTCTGAACAGAGACAGAGAGAGAGTGAGACTGGTTAAAGGTGTTTTAAAGAAGAAGGTGGAGGGTGGTTAACCAAGGGTGTGTGCACGCCTCTTTATCCACTCCTTATCCACTCTTTATTGAGTCAAAGCCCAGGTAATGAGACAGGGGACAGGAATAAAGACCTGCGGGGGGGGGGGTCTTCTCTTAGCCCATTCATTTGCTTTTGTTCTTCTCACCTCTCACTCTCAATCTGCTCATCCTAGCACCACCACTCCACCTCCTCCTTTTCATAGCGTTAGACCACTTTAGAAACGTCTGGCCCATCCCAGCAAATGGCTGAGACCGAGAGAAAGTGGTGCTGCAGTTATCCACGGGTTGCAAACGATGAATTCCAATTGCTGTTCAGGCGCTGTGTAGGATTCCTCTGAAACAAACAAAAAAGGTTGCATCTTCTTTTAGTTTCTTGGGTAAATTCTCTACACGAGCAGCAAAAACACTCATTGTAAACATCTTAATATCATTTATACACTCTTTACAGCTGCAGTGTGCATAAACAGTATACTCAAATGTCTTTTCAGGTACAAGTTACACACACATCCACACACACCACACTCAATGACACAGAAAATCTTGCCCGTCCTAGTGCCGCTGATTGATTCCAGTGTCCCTTTCTCTTGTTTAGTGCTAATCGAATGTAATTCCCCGCTTGTGCCTCTCCATCAAATCAGATGGTGGAGTTTGTGCTGGCCGGCGGGGCCGTGGAAGTGGGGATAATTATGATATTAATACGGAGGGGGTCTGAGGGAAAACTTTATTTGTCCCGCCGCCCGCCACGAACACAGAGAGGGGTCAATAGCCTCTCCCCGCTTTTCCTGCTTTAAAGCAGAGGAGAGTGGAATGAGATAATGAAGTGACTGGTAAGGCAGGAGGGAATGCTGACGACCTTGTTTCTTCAGAGCTATCACTTTCTCCCTCTTACCTCTTGCAGCTTAGGCCACAGCACTCTAGTCTCTGTTTCACATGAATTCATTATTAATATCATCATTCACTGCTGTTACCTTTTTCCTATTACATTAGTCCTTCGGAAAATAATGACTCTGGAACTACTTGAATTAGTGTTATGTTGGAAAATGAGTTGTCACTGTTGTCCCTGTGATCACTCCAGGAGGATTAGACAGTATTTCAGTGATTTGAATTTATAGACTCATTCAAAGGTTACCTAATTGGACAGGCAGAATGATACCCTTGCTGTTAAAGAGAACCCTTGGTGCTGCTGTGTGGTGCTGTCCGCGGTGCTGAAACATTCTTTTTTTTCCTTACTTTTCGGTTGTATTGATTTATCAAAAACTACCTCAAGCCCATGCAGCCAACAGGTTGTGAACAGGGACGAACACGCATTGTGCTTCACGCCCCAACACTAGTAAAGACCGAGCTTCCTCTCAGTCTGGCTAATTGAATGAGAAATGTTGAGAAGCTCC